TGGAGGAGGGGAGGGGAGTGGGGCCTGGGGCCCCGGCCCCCCTGGAGACTGCAGTGCACACACAGGTTTTCACTCGTGTCTTGTGCCTCCCCGGTGCCTGCCTCCCTCAGCTCACTGCGCCCTGCAGATCCTCTCCTCCCAAATTAGTGCTTGGGGGCCTAAGGCCCCCTACATCTCTCGCCCTCTTCCCCACTCCCTCCCCTTCTCTGCCTCTCTGTCTTCCCCTCTCTCCTCCATCTGAGTTCATCAAATTGGAATCTTTTCCCAAGCCCTTTGTGTTAGCCAGGCTTGCAGGCTCAGACAGTGCGGGGAGCTGCTCTCCCCTCCCGCTCCCCCATCTCCCTTTCTGACCCTGTTGTAGGGATGTTATTAAGAACATCGCCCGCCATAGCACTGCGTGTTCAGTTTTAGACCTAAGTCCCAGGGTAAGTTTATTTCCATCTCAGAAATTACTTTCATTATAGGAAATATGGATTTTTGTTACGCTTTGTGAATCTCTCGTTGTTTTGGCCTCCAAGGAGGAGAGGAAGAGAGAGAGAGAGAAGAGGGTGAACACACACATTTACTGCATGATGTGTGATCATTTAAAGGGCCTTTATTGAAGTAGAATTTGCATTCATAAAATCTCCTTTTTGTAATATGATCTTGATTGCAGCCTCAAATTCTTTGTGATTGGATTGGAAAGAGCCTTATATAAATGAAACAATGCTGACACCTAAGCAACTGAAGATCTTTAGCAGTATAAAGGCATTAGTGACTTTCTTCACTCAGATCTTTTCATTCATTTATCTGACAAATATTGAGTGTCTTCTACATGCTGGGTACATGTTGGGAATCTGGCAGTGAGCAAGTTCACTAGAGATACATTCTAGTGAGGGAAGAAAATAACCAAGTAGAGGTTAAAAATGCCAGGGGAGGGGCCCTCCCTGGTGACCCAGCGGGTTAAACCACAGCACTAAGAAGCTAAAGCCACTTCCGCATGAGTTCGATTCCCACCTGCCCCGGAGGTGACCCACATGGCGCGGCAGACCTCTTCTGACCCGCCCGCTGCTCCCCTCAGCAGTGTACTTCGTCAATCTCCCTGTTCTGCTCCCCACTTTGTCTCTGGTGAAGCCTCTTGCTGCCCCTGGACCTCTGGCCTGTACCCCAGTTCTGTGTGCACAAATAAATCTTTTAAAAAAAAATGCCAGGTGAGATAAATGCTGTGCAAGAAAACTAAGGAGAGGAAGGGAATGCGTAATTGACGGGGGGCTACAGCTTGAGCAGTGGGGTCAGGGAGGTCCCCTGCAAGGAGTCCAGGTCAAGGGAGATGAACACACAACTGGGACAGAGTGGAAGGGCAGGGAAGCTTCTAGGCAGGTTGAGTGAGCTTAGCACATCTCCCCAGGTCCTGTGGCTAGTATGTGGAGCTGGGGCACCGTGCCAGGTCTTCTGTTTCTGAAATCTGTGCCCTCACCAGGACGCTGCATTGCCAGGGGCCCAGTTTTAGATGCCTTTTGCCATTTGTTTCACCAGTAAAGTTCATCATAACAAACTTGCTAGCCGGGAGCCCCCAGGCTACTTTCTTCCATTTTATCTGCTGTCACTCGAGTGCCGCCATTTGTCACATCTCTCCCAGAAGATGCCTGGTAACAGATGTGGCTTGGAATTTGATAAGAACATCACTCCAGCACATCCTTTCAGTCTGTTTGGACTCCTTCCCTGGAGAGGGAGGGACAGCTGAACCAGCAGCCCACGCCCTCCGTGTTGGTAGCAACTGCAGAAACTCATGAGACAGTTAATAAAAGTTCCTTTCCCCTTAAAGGAACAGTTTGAACCTGGCGATCACCAAGGCCAGGGTGGCTATCTTTCTGCCATCTTTCTCTCCTTTACCAACGCTTTGCGTGTAGAGGAAGTAAGACCTCGTCGGACCCCTGCATGCTGGAAGCAGGGGCCTGCCAGTCCTGTGTGAAGGCGTCACCACTGCAGCACCCTGCCACACACAGGATCCCCACAAAGCTTGTGGATAGATGAACCGGAATCGAGACTGCGTGACCATGCTCATCTCACCAATTAAATGAGTGGTTTGTTAGTGGCTCTATGAGAAATGGAGACAGGAAGTGACTGTCACCTGCAGGATCCCAAACCTCAACTGGGCGGTTGGGTAGGAAGAGGAGAAACAGGGTGGGATCTGGAGCTGAATGTGACACTCCCCCACCCCACCCCCAAGCCCCCAAGGCAGTTAGCAGACAGTGCAGCCTGACAGGGGAACTTGTGGAGCTTAGGGCTCAGCGAGTCAGCTGGTGCTCGGGTTAGAGGATTTAGGACCTGGGAGTCTGGGCAGTGTCACTTCTGAGTGGAGGGACTTTGGACGAGCCACTTCTCTACGTCCTGGTCCCCTCAGTGTGAGATGTGGCCAGCAGCACCTACACAGGCGCAACCTGAGCTAGAGGTGGTGCGAGGAGGAAGCTGGGGGGTTACCCCGCTCTGTCCCCAACCAGCCTCCTTCCCGCCTACTGGCTGATGCTGTTCTGGTCTCTGGATCCTCAGATTCTGCAGAGACCAGTGTTTGCTGCCTCTCAGAGGGCCGGGAGGAGGATCTGGAATTTCGACTTCTAGAGCTTGAGTGCTCACTTCCTACAGGACTTGTAGGCTAAGATGAGTGAAGCCAGGTACCCGGTAACTGATTCTAAGGGAGCACAGTGCTCTTCCCTGTGGCCTGAACGTGCCACCCCCATCTCTGCCTCACTGGCCCAGCTGCTGCTTCAGTCCCAGCTTAGCGGCCACTTCTCCGGAGCACCTTTTCTGACCCATCAAATCATATGCACCCCCCAGGGAAACACGTGCACTTCTGTGTCAGAGGTTTGCTTGTAAAGGGCATTGTCATTATTTTTTTAAAGATATATTTATTTATGCACACAGAACTGGGGTACAGGCCAAAGGTGCAGGGGTGGTGAGAGGCTTCACCAGACACAGAGCGGGGAGCAGAACAGGCAGATGGACGAAGTACACTGCTGAGGGGAGCAGCGGGCGGGTCAGGAGAGGTCTGCTGCGCCCTCTGGGGCAGGGATCGAACTCGCACTGAAGCAGCTGCAGCCAGCTTGCAGTGCCATGTCCTAACCCGTTGCGCCACCAGGGAGGGCCCGCGTTGTCATTATGTATGCTGTCATAAATAATGAGGGCAACGACCTTGTCTTTCTGCCTCCCGCCATACCTGACTCAGGGCCTGGCACAACCTAGTGAATGTCTACTGAGTGAGTGAGAGAGTGAGTGGATGAACTGAACCAGCTGGCCACGTCCCAGATAAGACTGGGAAAGCTTATACATTTGGAAAACAAAATAAATTCTGTTTCGTTGCCCTTTCTCCATTCAGGCCTTTAAAAAATAGTTGTGCTTCACCAAGCACCGAGACCAACACAAAGCAAGGGAACAGGACGCTTGGCAGTAGAGCATTTCAAGGCAGAGCTGAAGGCGTCAGCTGGACCTGAGTTCAGATCCCGGTGCTGGCCCTAACCGGTGTGGTGGTGACAGCTTCCGCACCTCCCGGAGCCTCAGGGAAGTGGGGCTCTTGCTTGTACCACTCCCGGAGCCCTGTGTAAAGTGGTGAGAAATAATCCACGAAAGCTATTCACGGCCACGTTGATGAGGTCAAAAACATGGTGGTGTTTGGCACCATTCAGCAGACCTCAGTGTGTGTGTCGTGTGTACTTCGGGCCGAGTGCTTCTTCGCCCCCTTGTGCAGGGCGTCCTCCTCTGTGCTTCTAGAGAGGTTTCTTGAGCCTGGTCCCTGTGGTCTTTGTTCACTCTGGCCTTGTTGTAACTGGTGGAAATAATGGTGTGTCCTGATTCACTTGCCCTGACTGCTCACAGCAAGGAGACCTCAGGACAACATGGTCAAACACAGCACTAGTCGTCCCTGCGGTGAAACCCGAGGTCTGTCTTCCTCTGTGGAGAGCGGGTCAGAGAAAACATCTGCTTGGTGATTACCACGTCCTCAGTGCTGGGAAGGCTCTGAGTGGATCCCAGATAACAATTTCCCCCAATTCTGTGTGAGCAGGCATTCACTCATTCCCTCAGTCAGCCGCTATTTCTTGAACTTGTAATATGTGCGGGCAGTTTCCAGGCTCTGGGATTACACCAATGGACCAAACAGGCACAGAAACCTGCCCTCAAGGCTTACATTACGGCCTTGTTGGTTGGGTGTGGGTCTGCTAATCCTACGCTGCCTAGCCAGCCTCCATTTTGTTACTACAGTTCTGTATTCCTAAAGCAAAGTCAGAACTGGCCGATCATAGGAGCCCAACCCTACGAGGTGACTTTCACATCAAATAAGAGCACAAAGCTGGATCGCTCTGGGTAGCTAGATCGCTCTGTGTATCGTGAGGTATGAGTGGGAATTCCCTGGGGGCTGATGATAGAAGCATAAACTTATTCCCGAGTTACATATCACAAGTTATGACCAGGAACCACTTGGGGGGGAGGGTGTGGGGGAGGGAGCGTTGACTGTTGTATAACGAAGGACTCCAGAAACTGATCAGTGGAACACCTTATTGATAAGACTGGAATCCTGACTGGAGAGTCAGGGCTTGAGCTATGATACCAAGTGATCAGCAGATGAGAAGTGCAGCTCCACCCTTCCCCGGCGGCTTCTACTTCCCCCTCTCCTTTTCTGCTTCCCCACATGACTGACGCTGTATGTCTGGGTTATCAATAAAAAGGCCCGGATCTTGCCCTGAACAGCATCCTGCTTTATGTAGCTGCTCCACGACTCTGCTTCTTTATCAGTATGGTGTTGCCCAAGGCAGAAGTTGAGCATTGGTACATGTTCCCAAAAGGATCACTTCTTGGTCATCAATCTGGGAACCATTCTCTATGATGGGGTGCAGCCTTGCAACGTGGGAGGTCTGTGGAAAGCATCATCTGAGATTGCAGCAGAGGGTGTGGATTCGGGTGAGCACTACCAGCCGCTGAGACTCCCTGGGGCCTTCCACCTACCGTCACGTGCTTGTCTGTTTTTCTAGGTCATGCTCTCAGAGCGAAAGGGCACAGATGAGCTCTATGCAGTGAAGATCCTGAAGAAGGATGTGGTAATCCAGGATGATGACGTGGAGTGCACCATGGTGGAGAAGCGCGTGCTGGCCCTGCCCGGGAAGCCACCGTTCCTCACCCAGCTGCACTCCTGCTTCCAGACCATGGTAACTATTCGGGGCACCGGCTGTTCCCTGCCAGGGTTTTGTCTACTTTCCTTCTCCAATCTCGGTAGAAAGAAGACCCCTGGCTGAGGGATCTGGCGAGGGCCTCAGGTTTCTCATCTGTAAAATGGATGGACGGGGTGCTCCCTGGTGGCACAACAGTTAAAGCACAGCACTACAAAGCTAGCCATAGCAGCTTCAGTATGCATTCGATCCCCGGCCAGGGAGGTGACCCACATGGCGCGGCAGACCTCTCCTGTGTCCCCCCGCTGCTCCCCTCAGCAGTGCACTTTGTAGATCTGCCTGTTCTGCTCCCCACTCTGTCTCTGGTGAATCCTCTCACCGCCCCTGCACCTCTGGCCTCTATCCCAGTTCTGTATGCACAAATGAATAAATCTTAAAAAAAAAAAAAAGGGCAGTCATAGCCACATCCTGCAGTTGTTGCAAGAAGGAAATGAGTTTACAGGAGAAGCACTTGAACCTGTGCTCAGTACCTGGAAGATGCTCACTGCCTATTGGTTATTGATTATTCACTGCACAGACATTTAGCATCGCCTTGGTCTTCGCCAAGTGCTGGGGATAGAATCAAGTAAGCTACATCCTGTTTGGGGAACATTTATGATCTCACTGCACAGGAAATGGTGACAGAACATGCGAGAGGCGCGGTGGCAGCATGCACTCAGACTGGTGAATGGTCCGAAGATTGCACCTGATTAGCCAGAATGGTGTCTGAGTTGGGGTGGGAAAAAAAAAGATTTTCTGCTGGAGCCAGGTTCTGTAAATCCTAGACAATATTCCTTACCTAACAGGTCAGTAAGGAAGTGAACATTTTAGGCAAATGTTTATAGCCATCTTTGCAGAACCAGAGTTCGCCAGCCCTATTTGGGGGTCTGTCGAGTGTTAGGGGCTTCTCAGAGTGGCCTTTCTGCTACTGCAGACAGGATCAAGAGCTGGAATAGTGTTTGTCCAGGTAAGGACCATGAAACAGACCTGGGAGTTATTAAGGCTGATTCTGGGGGGGGGGGGTGTAGATTTTAAATTACTTTCCCCTTTCTGTTCTCATTAAGTTCTTCTGAGCACGCAGGAGAGAGCAGTAGCATTTGTTGCTAGCAAGCCTATTACATCTCAACAAAGAGAGAGGACCGGGCTTCTGGTTCTGGACTTGGCTTCTGCTCATAATTTTTTTTTTTACAGGTTTCTTCCATTATGACAACACTGTAAGTCTTTTTAGTTCTTAAATTTGACAGAGATATTTAAAAAACAAATACGAAAAGACATGCAAAATTGCTGTCGTAGTAATGACTTCTTACAAGGTTACATTCCTCAGGCCACCATGCAGGTCTTAGAAGCTTCTCTGCATTCTAAACTCAGCCTAATTCCAGTGGCATTGACCTCTTCATGGGTCACCACTGTCTTGTCACTACCCTGTTTAATCTGTTTATTTAGAAGAGCAGGGGTTAGCCAGAGGTGTGTGGGGTGGGGGGTGGAGGTAAGAGCATTCCCCAGAGACAGAGTGGGGAGCAGAACAGGCGGACTGAAGTACATTGCTGAGGGGAGCAGCGGGGAGACAGGAGAGGTCTGCTGTGCCATGTGGGTCAGCTCCCTGGGCAGGGATGGAACTCAGGCTCTGAGAGCGCTGAGACTTAACCCCTCGGTCACCAGGGAGGCCCCACTACCATACTTTGATCTTCTCCCTTGTATACATTTGATGTCTGTGAGTGTTTGAATATGGTGATTTCCTCCTCTCCCCTCCCAATCTGATTTCTTCCTGAAGATCCTGGACTATTTGACTCGGAACTCATTTGCACGGTCTGTATTTTCCTGATTGCCATCTTGGGCATCTCCACATGTGTCCTCGGTCCTTTTCTTATGCAAATTGCTAGCTGGGCCTAGAGGCTCCAGCAGATTAGGCAAGACCCTAGGAGGGGGGGGTGAGCTTTCATTGAAGGTACAGTCTGTCCACTCACTCTCTTCCTTGATGTTGCCAAGCACTAACACTTCGTGCTGGGTCCATTAATTCATTAAGATGGTAAAATGGTCATATCCTAATTCTGTCATCTCTTTTTCATTTTTTACTTGCAATGCTTTTTGTTGTTGTTTTATTGTCTTGGAGAAATTGTTTCTTTTTTTAATGTTTTATTTTATTTACTTATTTTTTTTTTAAAGATTTATTTATTTGTGCATACAGAACTGGGGTACAGGCCAGAGGCTCAGGGGCGGTGAGAGGCTTCACCAGAGACAGAGTGGGGAACAGAACAGGCAGATCAACGAAGTACACTGCTGAGGGGAGCAGCGGGCGGGTCAGGAGAGGTCTGCCACGCCATGTGGTCTCCTCCGGGGCAGGCGGGAATCAACTCATGCGGAAGCGGCTTTTAGATTCTCAGTGCTGTGGTTTAACCCGCTGCGCCACCAGGGAGGGCCCTTTATTTACTTATTTTTTATAAAGAGAGGTCTCCCTTCATCTGTGGTCTGGCTCCTTGGTGGGACAGTTCATAGCAGAAAGGCAAGCTAATGCTTGGCTCTTTCCCTTTATAGAACAGTCTTCATGAATTGGTTCATTATGAGATTCCTATGGTGACTGAAGTTTTCTGCATAAATATAAGTTTTGAGTAACCAGATAGCCATAGAAAGAAAAGTCTTCAGTGAGTGGTAATGCACATTATATGGGGATTTGTCAAAAATGAGGAAGAGGGACCTCACTCGTCCAGGTCGCTGAATCTGACGGGAATCCTAAAGGTACTCAAGGGATAACAGAGACAGACTCTTAAACCTCTGTACCCCTTATTCCCACCCCTGTGGCTTTGTCCACTGGTGGTCCCAGATTCGCTCACCGCTGAGGGAGGACAGTTTTTGGTTAATTGACAAGGTTAGACCTGCAAGGAAGTCTTGTTCTCAAGGAGCTGGACTGACTTGGAGCAGCACTTTTCTGTTTCAGTTGGATGTGTTAAGATTTCAGGCAATTAGTCATTGGTGACTAGTATTCATTATGGTAGAATACCTTCATTTGTAATTTACTGCTTGAAAAAATGACAAGGCAAGGTGAATTTGTGATCATTGCTTTTCATATTGAGCCACTCTCCTCCCTTATATGTTGATGTGATTTCTGGAATCAGACAGTAGGGCTAGCTTGAGGTGGAAATGGTGCTGTGTTCTGGCTTCCCGCAAGGAGCCTCACATGCCAGACGAGAGCAGTGAAGGGCGGAGAGAGTGTGGAATGGGTGAGGGCTGTAGGTCTGAAACTTGTGTGGGGATGAAGGCCCCACACTGGCAAGTCTCGCTGTTCTGCAGGGCCGGGATGGGACCCATTGCTTGTTCTGTCTCCAGGGACTGTATTGTGTGTGTGGGGGGGGGGTGTTGGAGTTGGGTGGGCAGGGGGTAGGAGCTTAGAACCTGAAATATCAAAGTGGCACTTGACTTGGGGAGACAGGCTCACTGCCAGCAAGGTGCCTTCTGGGGACGAGCAGACACCACTCAGTCTCTCCTCAGCTGCACACACTCATTTAATGACTGTCTCCATGTAAGATATTTCTTGGGTAACCACTTATATTTTAATTTGATAGGTGATTATTTCAAAGACTTCCAGTTACACCTGGTGTATGTAAAACATGGGGCTGATTATGTTAAACTGCGTGACTGTCTTTGGACCCCCATTTCACACATTTCAGGGCAGGACCTGGTTCCAGGAGGCTTTTCCATTTCAATGCTACGCACTGAGCTCTTTTGTGTGTGTTGAGTGGGAATCGCCCCACTGCTGATGGGCCTGACCTCCCTGGTGTGTTCCTCAGCAGCCAGCCTGTGTCCCAGCTCTGCAGGGTCCTGAGCTTTCACCCAGCATTGCTCACCCCTCACCTGCTCAGGGAAGGCCCGAGTGCTCCCTCCCTTCACTCCCCCATCTCTGGAACAGAGCCAGCTCTTCCCTCTGTGCAGTTTCCATCGTGTGGACCTTCCAAAACTTTGCTCCATGCTAGCCGTACAGATATCTGGCAACAGAAGGAATGAACCCTCATCCCCCTTTGTAGGTGAAAAGGCTGAAGGTTGGGGATGTTCTGCAGTTTCCCTCCTCCCAGGTTGGCATCACCACCCACCCACCTTAGAGCCCAAGGCTTTGCTAGTACCTTATGTGATCTCGTACCATAAATGGTCTCGGTGGCGAGAGACGCTTGAGCAGGTGTCAGGCACGGTGTCAGGACCAGGGGATGCTCTTAATTTGCCCCCCCCCTCCCCAGCACCACTCCTGGATAAGCACGCTCACTCTCGCCGATGAGACAGATAAGGACCATGGCATTCAGAGATGTTAAGTAATTCAGTTATCGTCGCACTGTTGCTACCTGGCAGAGCGGGCTTCACCCTGCAGGAACTCCAGAACCTCGAGTTCTGGAAGCCCTCCTCTGCCTTACTCCAGCTTCTGTCTCTAATTTCTAAACAGTTGTCACTTGCATGATCACAGACGATCATCACCTGAATGCTAAGAATTACAGTCCACATTTTGCCTGATGCAACCTCAGGGAGAGGAAATAGTCTTAATCCCCTTCAGGTGCTTAGCCCGTGAAAGAGTCGCCTGCTTACCACACTAGATGCTGCAGGACTGGAAGTGATCTTAATAATTTAGGAAGAATTGCATGTATATGAGGCAAACCATTGTGGAGGTGACTTGGAAGGCGACACCCCTCCTTAGGGAAGGCTCATGAAGGTGACCACCCAGCTTGCACTGACCTAGAACTCCTGATCCCTCGACCCCCAGAGGTGCCCCTGAGGGGAAGGGAGTAGGGCTAAATTGGCAGGGCCCCCAAAAGTTAGCTCATTACTCCAACCTACAGAGAGTCCTAACGCTTATTGATTCTGTTAAAATACATGTGTCAGAACCCAGCTGCCTCACCGAGAGGGGCATCTCAGGGAACAGATGAGATGAAGTCCCTGATTCTTCGGGATTTTCATTCTAGTGGGAGCAACATAACAAAAGTTAGTGACCAAAAATCAAGGGGCGAGAAAGGAATGGATTGGAA